AGTTTACATGGAAAACAGTTTTGAAAAATAGGGCCCGCACGTCTCCAGAAATCCTCTACAGTGTTCAGGGCCCTGGTGTGCAAGGCAGGAAGCACAGATCAAGGGACAGAGGACCCAGAAGTAGCCCAGCACTGCGGGGGCTGCAGTTTCTGACAAAGGTTGAAAAGCAGTAGCTGTCTACATCCTCCGCTTACGTAACAGCATTTCAGCTGGGGGGCTTTTTTAACTGTTCTGAGTCTTCAGAATGTGGCATTCACCTGTTAGCTAGAGGAATCCTGTTGGTTTGGTGTCCCCTCCCGATTTGCTCAACACACTCCCTACTCCCACCCCTGTGGTGGCTTCTGCCTCTAGCTATTCTCACAGGTCCCTCATACCCAAGATTCCAGCTTAGGGCAGCACTTTTTCAGTTAGCTTCTGCAGAAACTGGGTCCCTGGGTTTACAGAAAAAAACAAGGCCCTTTTTAATGCCTTATCTAAAAAAGGCTGACACTTTCAATGGAACCCAGAACAAGAAAAAAAAAAAGTCTTCACTGACAATGAAAAGGCCCTCTCTACCGCCCCAGCCTTGAGGATTCCAGTTGTAATTTGCCCATTCAACTTGTGTGTTGTTAAATTATGACATGTGGATTTAGGGGTGTTTACTTAACCTGTCTGGCCTCTGCGCAGTGATTACCTGTCCCGAACACTTGGGTCCAGTCAGTAAGGACTGGCTCCCTTGCCTCTGCACTCTGAAAACCAGTGTCCTCCCAATCAAAAAAGCTGACAAGCTCTCCTTAGGCCAAGACCTAACCATCCAGGTGCCACTTCCTGTCCTGGACCTCCAAAATAACCAAGGACATGCTGACTCTCCAGCAGCCAGGCTCCCCAACACCAGTGACTCTGACATAAAGATCCTCTGAGGTCAGTTGGACATTTCTCTAAGAAATTATCCCCAGATATGTCCATGGGAAGTGACAGTGGCTCTGACTTTGTAACAGAGATAATCCAAAACTTCACTGACTTGGCCCTAACTCACCCCATGGAGATGTCTGGTGGTTATGAAAGAAACCTTTGTACCTGACCCTTCCCAATTGCTAAACCTGTGCCCTAGTCCAACTGATTATTCCCTTTACACTTGCTCAGAGGTCAGTCCCTCTTCCTGATCCTTCCTACGCATTCAGAAAACGCCACTAAATAAATCAGTCCCCAATTTCCTCTTACCTCACTGTCTGTATGGATATAATAGGGACCTCAGGAGGGGTCCCCACTAAATTTTTTTTAAATTTTATTTTGAAAGTGGTAAAATACAACAGAACATGACAGAATAAAGCCAACTAAGATCTTACAGTGAAATTGGTACAGAACTTCACAGCAGGTTACCGGGATAACAGTAATAGGTATCACAGTATATTTCATTATCTTTATAATAGTTGTTCTTTCAATCACGTATATCAAAATGAGATGAAATACAGAACATTATAGAACTTTTCAAAACAATATTGAATAGAGTAGTACCATTAATCAGAATAGAGCAAAACAGTAATAAAAATATTTGCCTTCAAAGAGATGGTAGAAGGCAGTTCCCCTTATTTGCTATGGTCAACCTCCCAGGAGACGCTCAGATTTCTGGTTCCCACTTACTAAGGTGGGGGGGGGGAGACAGAAAAAGTGGGATGTTTGACTCTAGGCTGTGCATCAGTAGGTTCACTACTGCTTAGCAGGGAGGCAGGCTGGTTGTTTGGTTTCACAGCGTCCTAAGTTCCAACTTGGCACAGATCTCAGGAGCTGCTTCTGGTTCTCCCCCTGGTAGGGTACAGTCTGCCACACCGCCACCGTTTACCAAGGAGGGGAGTTGCTTGCTTGGCTTCCCAGTATCCTAAGTTCCAACATGGCATGGATCTCAGGAGCTGCTGGTGGTCCTCACTAAATTTAAAGCTCAAAACCAAATAGCCATGAGATTTAAAAGTTCACTGTTCTGGTGGGTCACTATCAAAAATATAGATTGGTAAATTATATGTACTACAATCAACAAAAGTTTGCAGTTTATACCCAAAATTCCCTCCTGTGAGCCAGCAGTGTGTGGGCTGGGAGACAGGAAGAGCTGACCCCACCACCACCATCCATAAGCAACCGGCTGATTCCAAGGAACACAGGCTGAGGCGATAGCTACTGAAATAAAGTAATGCTTATATTGTTTGGTTGTTTGCAAGCTTAAAAGCCAGTAGTCTGAGCATTTATTTAGATAACAATATGCAATATAGCAACTATGGGGGATTTCTTTGTCTTGTTCTTGAAATCCAATATTATTCTCACTGTTTTGTTTGGTTCCATTATATTGTTTTGTTTTATTCCCTTATAATTAAAAAAATTGAAGGACTTTTCTCTATAATAAAAGCTATTACCAAAACAACAACAAAAATAAATTATGCTCAGGATGCTATTTAAAAAATAAATGACTTGGAAAAAATAAAAATAAAAAATAAATGACTTGGGCCCACCAGCCAGATGGCCTAAAAAACAGACTCACTCTGGATATGATTCTAATGCCAAAAAAATTTAAGACGTGGTATCTGTGTTATAATAAAAACCCAGTGCTAACTTTTATCCCAAACAACACTGCCCCTGTTGGCACAATTACCAAAGCTTTCCAAGGTCTATTACTCCTGTCAAAAAAACTAACCAAAAACACTGGAGTTAATAGTCTTTTAAAAAGTTCACTAAAACAATGGTTTGACAAATTAAAGGGCCTCCTTACTGACTCCCTGATCATCACTGTTGGAACTCATATTCATTTGGGTTGCTGAGGAATCCCCTGTGTGCGCAGTTTAATCAGACGTTGACTGAGACAGCTCTTCAGGAGGACAAACCACAGATTATCTGAGTGTGATGAACTTCAGCCCTGGCTCCACTCAGCAATCCCTAATGGACTCAAATGGCAATGTTCCTCAGAGTCCCTGAGGGGCACCAGGAGGGGGAATGAAGCAGAAATCCCGAACTGACTGCAGCCATTCTGTTCAGTAAGGCTGCAAGCGGTCTATCCTCTGCCCCTGAACTCAGATAAGTCACACGATTTTTCATCAAGTTGAAGCTTCTGCTAAAAATGACTTTGTTCCATACAACTACGCTCACTACAAGATACCCACTATAGCATGGTCTTCAGTTACATTTGTCTAGTTTTTTTTGTAACTCCTGCTTGCCACCCTGCAAAATAGACAAACATGCCATAATCAATGCCTCAGTTTACAGGCAGAGACTAGTCCTCTGGGGTCTACCAGTGTTAATAAAATTCCCTTTCTTCATCTGAGCTCCTGGCTACTGTGAGTCAGCTTTCTCACAACAGAACAACGGAAGACAGTGGAGTAGCATACTCAAAGAGTTTAAAGAAAAACATCGATTTCAACCAGAGATCTGACATCCAGAAAACCTCTCCATCAATGATACAAAGGGAACATATTCTCAAATAGAGGAAGTCTTAAGAAAATTTGCTTCTGGGCAGTATTGTTTTGCAAGAAATAATAAAGGAAGTCTTTGGCAAGAAACAGTTTATTCTTTAATTTTAAAATAGTGTATTTGTCAGTGTCCTTTATGGGTGTATACAAAGAAATTCTTAAATTTTCTTTTACAGTATTTTTCATTGATTTCAAAAACAAGCATACTAAAAATACCCTAGAATATTTTTCGAAATTTCTTTCAATTTTACACTTAGCTTGTGAATTTATGACAATATATTAAATTAATTTTTGGTTAATAACCAACTAACTGAAAAGATAAAAGTAATTAAAAAGTATTTTAAATTTTTATCCAAAACTCAGTGAGCTAAATAAGTGTAAAAGAAACTTCAAGACTGAGTTGATGCAATGTAAAAATGTGGGGAAATCTTGGAGGTGTACGCGTGAGATCCTGAGGATGATGATTCCTGTGAGATCAAAGGTAAGGTTCAGAAACTGAGAAACTGGTGGGGCTCAGGCACAGACCCTGAGGGAGCCGTCGCCTGGGACTGGTGGTGGTGATGGTGGTGGGAAATGTACTGCACAGTTGCTGACAGGTGGAGCAGCTGGGTTTGGAAGAAGGCATCTGAAGACTCAGAGGGTGGAGGATCTGCTGGGCCGAGGCACCTTCCCTGGGCCCAGGACCCTTTGTGAGGAGGAGACTGGGGCTCTGTGATGCAGGCCTGGGCCCCACCCCCTACTAACTCAGGAAAGTCAGGGCTCAGTAGCTCGAGGGCAAGGAGGGCGCCAGTTAGGCTCAGAGGATGGATGGAGAGCTTTGGCTTCCTTCTGAGAAGTGCCGGTTCCAAATGGCTGGGCGCCAGCTCCACCACCTGGACAGTGGACATGGTCTTCGCCTTTCTGTGTGGGTTGGTGCTCTTCATCCTCCTGCTCCCTTTCCTTGACACTAATCCAACTTGCCCACTAACTCGGGAAAAGAACATCAGAAAGGTAAGCGGCTCTAGGGAGAAACCCAGAAGAGTTCTTTCTTCTGTGTTCTGCTTTTCCTAAACCAGTTGGGACAATTGTGAGTGTGGAAATCTCAGTAACAATATTATTTTTCCGGGACAGGTGGGACAGAGGTGGGTCTGGGCACAGAGACTTTCATCTGAGACTTAGACTACCTGTGCATTGTGCTGGGGGGTGGGGAGCAGAGTGAAATAAAGCAATCAGGGAAAACGGCCAAAAAGTGAAGTTCGTGGGGAAAGGGCAGAGGCCTGGGGCATCGGTCCCATGCTCATGGCTGATGCATCTGGCCTGGCCCCAGGAAGCTGATGCCTGCATGGGAGCTGAGAGACGTGGGGAGAGCTCCATATCCACTTCCTGACAAGAGGAACTGGACCTGTGACATCCATGGTGGAGCTCACGTAGGAAAGCTTTGCTGTTTTCCAAAGGAGAAAGACAGAAAATATTTTCAGCCATATTACCAACAAATTCATTTGTGAAGTGTAGAAATTCATGCTGTTCGGAGACATTGAATACAGAGACAAGAGGAAGAATTGGGTCCCTGACTCTTACTTTCTTGTTTCTTAGCACCCCCCAGAGAAGAAGGGGTGGGGAGCAAACAGGAGGAAGAAGAGCTGCATTGTGAAAGGTAGGGCCTTGTCCTATGGCAAACGGAACCTGAACTCCCTGCTCAGCTCCACAGTTCTGAGGATGTCACTTGAGGAGGCCTAGGAGGGAGGCTTCTGGGAAAGAAATCTGACCTGGGGTTCATTTCTCAGGCTGTGATTGGCCAGGGAAGGGTGATGTCCAAGAGGGGCAGCGTGGGTCACAGCGGAGCAGTACTGCTTACCTTTGTAGATTAACTTAGCGGTCTAACTGGGAGTGCAGGTCGAATCTGATGTGGTGTCTCCTAGGTGACATTCTGCTCAGCCTCCTGTAAGATCCCAGGTGCCTCCCTTCTCTGCCATAACCCAGTCTATTCTTCTAGCTTGCAGAGACTGCCGCAGGGAAGTGGAGGAGACTCGGGATCTAGTTTTACTTCTGCAAAGGTGAGGGGCTTTCCACCTCCATCTCCCTCATCTCCAGGACTGAGGGGGAGATGCCATGTTGGGGCGCTGGCTCTGTGAATCTAGGGTGGGGGACTGTGGGGCTGTGGGCCACCAATGCCCACCCCTGCCCAACCTACCCTCCCTTCTGGGCCTGTCCACTCCTGGCTGTAGCTTGTGCCTTCTATTTCCTGCAGCCTCCTACACAAGCTCCCTGGAAATGCCATCCCAAATCGCTCCTATCATGAAGATGCCCCAGGTGAGGTGTTTAAACCAGGGCCTGCTGGAGCCAGTGGACCACCTGGGCATTTGGCGGAAGCTCCTTCTAGCTCTTTGCCCTCCTTACCTTTCCTGGCTTCTGAGACCCTGCGGCCTCTGGTCTCAGCCCTCTCCACAGAACCTCAAGGAGACTCATCTGCCACGAGACTGCCACCAGGTATGGGGCCCCCCAGGACTCCCTACCCAGTAAATCCTATTGAGCATCACTCATGATGGCTCTCTCAGGCCCTGACCTCCTGCACCATTGTCTTGCATTCTTCTGGTGCTGGGCAACTGCCAAGGCCACGTTTTTCTCCACCTGGGCACGTGGCAAATCCCAGCAAGAACCTCTGCCTCACCACCCACCAGACACTGTTCTCTGGGGAGGCCCCACCCACTGGCTGGCAGAGGCAGGCAGAGGGGACTATGCTTTCATCCACTGGATGTGCAGAAGCTGCTGGAGATGCTGGTCAGCAAGAAAGGCAAACAGAAAATGTGCCAGGGAAAACGCAAGGGTGGCTCATTTTCCTACAGTGAACACAGGGCACCCCCAGGTTCCCCTGAGGAGCCTGTTGAGGTCACTGGGTGACAAACTCACCTGTGCGCAGCCTCCTGCCACACAAAGAGCAAAGCAGAGTGGCTTCTTGAGTCTCGGCAGGTCCTTTTGCACAAGGTCTCTGGAGCCGTTTCTAGCTCTTCTGGGGCCTGCCCCTTCTGCACAGTGAGTCCCTGGTGACCACTGCCTGGGTCACTAGAAGATCTTCATCTTCATCATCTCAGTCTATTAAATTTAATGACACTATCTCAAGTCATGAAGGACTCATGCATGAAGCTCAGCATGAAGGACCTCTTCATGCTTGCCCCACTTCTGCCTGATGCCCAGCCGCCAGCCCAAATCCCAGGCTTTCCCCCAAAGCCACCACATACCTCTCCATCCCCGGTCAGGGCCTGTGGAACAACTTGCTCTAGACCTCAGGAGAAGGCGTGGTCTTTTATTCCCAATGAAAATAAGGGTCTGGTACGGACCTCACAGAAGCCACTGAAATGGAGAAAAGCTTTAAACTCTAAGCTCCAAAAAGCTCAAGAAGCCATTTAACTGCTCACTCTCAAGCTTCCTCAGGGCAGCCAGGCCTTTGAGGCCCCCCAGGCTGCCTCCGTCCTTTCTGGGGATTCTAACAGTGCTGTGCTCCATGAGAAACTAGGGTACAACAGCCAGGGGTATTCAACAGAGATGAGAGGAGTGAGAACCTGCCCTGCCCTGCCTTCAGGTTCCTACCATCCCAGGATCTCATGCAACCTCTGGGCACACTCCCAAGGAAGCCTCGGGGCTAGGCACAGGCCATCCATGGGGTCACCCAGCCCTCAGCACCAGCTGATGGGAGGAACAAAGCTGTCCAGAATACAGAGTTCCTGCCCTCTGGCAGCCTCTTTGATGGTAACCCTCAACCTAGAGGACAGAAAGAATGTTCCACAAGATGCAAAGGAAGACAGAAAAGATGCATTCCAGGATACAGCAAGCAAGTCACAGGAGGTTCAGGGATTCAAGGCTGCACAGAGAGACCACAGGGGCCCCAGATGTGTGACCCAGAAAATCACTTCTTTTTTTTTTTTTTTATCGGTACTTGGAATCGAACTCACGACCATCTGCTTGCAAGGCAGGTGCTTATGCCGCTGAGCTAAATCCCCAGCCCCTAGAAAGTCCCTTCTCTAGGGGCTAGATCAGAAATGTCTGCAAAAAGGCCGGCAAGCCCATCTGAACAAGAAGCTGAGGCAGATCAATGAAGGGATGATCCCACTGCGTGTATGGAGATCCTGGCTTACTACCATACATGCTTTGCCCAGGTCAAACATCCACTCACAACCCACAAAGCTGAAACACCCCAAGGGTCTGGAAAAGTGTGTGAACACCTCTCAGGTGCTTGCTTTCCTTGATCCCAGAACTCACCTCTTGATGGAAGCACATATTATAAACTATTGGTTAAGGCATAGGTGCAAGCATCTCTTCCAGAACCTTGAGCCTAGAAACATCCATGAAGATGAGGCTCAAGCCTTGCCCCCTCCACACCCTCCCCTTGCTGCCTCGGCCTCCTGTGACTCTAGAGCTGACCTCATTGCCAATTAGCTGCATGCCAGCAAGAAATCCCTGAGAAGTTTCCAGAACAGAAGAAGACAACCAAAATATCCTTTCCCAGTCTGCAGAGTCCTCCCTGCCACCAGGTCATCTGTGTGTGAGGAAGTGCAGAGGTCTGGCCCTGGAACCCCATCTGATCACAGTGATGGGCCCGCAGACATCCTCCCAGCAGCACACGAAGTTGGGCTTCCTACTGCCACCTGCACCCAGCAAAGCAGCACTGTTCTCAGGATTGAGAGAAGCCCAGTGCCCACTCCAGGCCCAGCAATGGCCAGGCATGCTCTGTTGTAGCTTGGCATAACTGACACCATCTTGAGCCCTGCATATATAACTAGTGCCCTGTTGATGGGGAGAATGGGAAATTACTCAGAGTGCAATCTCATGAGAAAAGCAGAATGAGCTGTACCCACAGGAGAAAAATTAACCTGCTCAACAAAAGAAGCAGGATGCAGGTGTCAACCAAAAATTAATGTAAGATTTAGCTAAATTGTTTCCAACAGGATACTTTTTGTGGCTCTCTTGTTTTAAAAGCTCTGTGACTTTCTAGTTAGGGACGACTTGTTTAGACTCTGAAACAGGAGTCCCTGGGTAGTTGCTGAGCTCAACTAGATAAAACCCCAAATATTTTAATTTGGCTGCTTGGATTCCTATATTGTTCACAAACCCACCTCATCTGGGGACTCATCCAGGATCCCTATTTAGGGATTTATAGGATCCAAACCTCTCTTTGAGGTGAATTATTCCTTAGGGGGACTGCCAAGTGATGCTCCTCGCCCTTGAGGAATTTCATCATTTCAAAGAGAAACCAAAACCCTGCATGCTAATCCAGATCCTTACTGGTAAGATTTAGTTTTGCCCCCAAGGTCCTGGAGATGTTGGACGCAACATTACAGTCTCCAGGACTTGTTTGCAGACCAAGACGTTGGTTGGGACTTGTTGGCCATAGAGTCAAACTAGTTCTTGGTGTCAGTTTCTGTTAGTCTCTGTCTTTGTTTTGTTAATCTTGTTTGTCACTGGTTTAGTGTTTGTTATTTATGTCAATGAGTCAGTCTGCTTCTGCTTCTGTGTCACCCTTGCGATGTGTTCTTAACCATTTTCAGGAATTTTGTCAGAGATCCTCTTCCTATAGTGAACCTGTTTACGCAGGGAAGCTCCAAACTTTTTGTAAATTTTAAATGGCCTGATGTCGGAGCTTCTTGGCCTCCAGAAAGGACTTTTAACCTCTCGTTGTGTCAGCAGGTCTGCCTCAACTCTTTGAAAAACAATAGTGCTGCTGCCATGGGTGCCCCATCCAGCGGGGCTTCCCCAGCAAGAGGGTGTACTTGCTCCGCCTGCAGGCCCACACCAGCCACATGCCCCCCTCCTTCCTCCTCTCTACTGCGCTGAGTAGTCAGCCCGAGAGAGCATGGCGCCTTAACTGTTTCCCAGCCCAGCAGCAGCAGCACAGGCAATGAGATGGTAGCAGCGAGAGGAGCCAGAGCTGGAGCCAAAGCCAAAGCCTGCGCAATGTGGCAGGGCAAGGGTGACCTGCAGCTCTCGGGGCCGAGAGCATGGGCAGCTGTGTGGCTTCCCGGGTGGGCACAAGCCCAGCCAGCTGCCGCACCCCTTTCCTGGGCTTCCACCCCAGACCCTCCTGTCCCAACTCCCTCCCCTTGCAGAGCCTGCCAACAGCTTCTTCACTTCTGAGGAACAAGAACACATCCACATCCTGGGACAAACACTGGTCCCAGGACTGGATGGGGACCTCATGTTTCCCCTCACTCGCCCTGTCCACGGTAAGGAGGCTCTCCATATGGTTTCCGCCAGACTCTTTTGGGTGCTTTTAAAAGCAGTGGCTCACAAGCCAGCTAATCTGTCTAAGCAGAGGTTAAGTTAGGGACCTGCCAAGGCTCCATATGCATTCTTGGAGCACCTCCTAGACGCATATTATATTTATATATTTATTGATCCAGAGGCATTAGAGGACAAACTTGCCTTAAATATTGCATTTGTCTCCTAGTCAGCCCCAGATCTTAGGAAAAAAGCTTCAAAGGCTAGAAGGATTCAAAGGTAAGGCACTCTCAGAGTTAGCAGAGACAGCCCAAAAAGTCTTCAACAACCAAGAAGATCCACGGGACTTAAACATCTTAAAAATCCCTTCCCCAAAGAGAATTTCAAGAAATTCAAGAGAATTTCTAGGTGCTTTGGGCTACTGCTGGTTGTGGATCCTGGATTTTGCCAACATAGCTCAGCCATTCCACACCTCTCCTGGAGGGGATCCATCTGGACCTTGAACCTGGACTGAGTTAGAGGAACAAGCTTTCAAGGATCTCTTGTGGACACTCCAGCGCTCGCTCTCCCTGACTTAGCCAAACCTTTCCAATTGCATGTTACCACAAGTCTTGAGATCGCAAACTGGGTCTTAACCCAGTACCTAGTACCCTAGAAGAGGCCTGTCGCCTATTTTTCCTGGTGATTAGACCCCATGGCTACAGGGTGGCCAAATTGCCTATAGACAACTGTAGCCACCACCACCACAGAGGGCTCTCAGTTGACTTTTGGCCAGATTCCAGATAATGGCCCCACATGCTGTAGAGACACTGTGGCTTTCCAACACTCACACTGTCCAGCACCAAGCCCTTATACTGGATTCTGACCACATCGAGTTCCTATCTACCTCTGCCCTCAATCCAGTGACCCTCCTGCCTGATGATGACCCCTCAGTGCTGATACATAATTTTATATGGACATTATTGACTCAGTCTCAAGCCTGTGAGCTGACCTGACTGATGTCCCCCTTGCTCAGCCTAAAGCCAACTTTTTCATAGATGGCTACAGTTACCTCCACCAAGGCACTCGTGTGACAAGAGCTGAGGTGACCAGGGAAACTGAGGTAATATAGGCCCAAGCTTTAGGGCCAGAAACTTTAGCTCAGTGGGCAAACTGATAGCCCTAACTCAAGCCCTAAGATAGGGACAAATATAAACATAAATACAGATAGTCGATATGCTTTTGCTACCATCCATGTTAAGAGGCCATTTCTCAGGAAAGAGGACTGTTAACCTCAGCAGGAACAAAGATCAAGAATGCCCCCAAGATCTTAGACCTCCTGGCTGCCATTTGGTTGCCCTGAAAGGTTGCCATTATGCACTGTTTAGGGCACCAATGAGAAGACACCCCAATAGCTTGTGGGAATGCCCTCACTGACAAGACAGCCAAAGAGGTGGCACTAACACCAGTGGGGCCTGTAATGCTCCTCCCGGCTCTCCCACACCATGCTACTCAAGCCATCCTATTCCGATTTAGACTTGAGACCAGTCAAGAGCCTAAAAGCCAAATTCTCTTGGGAAGGCTGGCAGACCATTCTGGATGGGCGAATTCTCACCCCAAAATCATTGGGCCCCTTGCTCATCCAGAAGACCCACTGGGCCACTCACTTGGGGGAATCAAACTGGCCAAGTTATCTTAACCTGACTAAAGATATCAGCCAAAAATGCCCACAGTGTTTTCAGGTGAACCCTAAGCTGGCCACCACTGATGTTAGAAAGAGGCAGTGAGGACTTAGCCCTGGAGACCACTGAGAGACTGACTTTACCAAAATGGGCCCAGGAAGAGGGGGACATAAATATCTCTTAGTTCTCATAGACACATTTACTGGGTGGACTGAAGGATTCGCCACTTGGACTGAATCAGCTCTCACCATAGCTAAAACCTCCTCTGAGACAGTGTGATTTGGTGTGCCCACCTCCCTGGGGTCTGACAAAGGCCCAGCTTTCATAGCTCAGATCACTCAAAATTTAGCTTTAGCTTTATAAATCAATTGGAAATTAAATTGTGCCTACCGGCCTCGAAATTCAAACCAAGTAGAAAAAATAAACAAGACCATAAAAGAAAACTATTTTAAAACTGGCTTTTGAGACTGGCGAAAACTGGGTAAGTCTCCTTCCTTTTGCCCTTCTACATGCAAAATATACCCCCTACCTCCAGGCATTACTTCTTTTGAGGCCATGTACAGCCGACAACCCCCTTTATTTCCCCATGTCCAAGATGGTAAGTTGGCTGCTGTCACTAATGGGAAACTCAAATCCTTACAGGCTCTGCAGCCCTTCTGCACTCAATCCACCACTTGTTAAAGGGCCACCAGATTGTTCCCAAAAGGCCTGATGACCCCCTAGCAGCCCAACCTGATGATCAAATCTACATCAATGGAAGGACTCAATCCCACAGCCATCAAGATCTCCAGAAAGAGCCATTGGATTCATCACCTCCACTTCAAGCCCACAGGACCAGAGACTCCAGCTGAGTGGACTATCAAAAAGTCTTCTGACCCTTTTAAAGTGACGCTCCAAAGATGTGAGCCCTAAGTCTGTTTAGATATATAGCCAATATCAAACCCAGATGGTAAACACCTCAAACCTTGATTCTGGTTCTTCATGTTGGTGTGGACAGGAACCTAAGTTCCTCACTTTGGAAGACATTCAAGGCTCTAGACTTTGTATTCAGTCTGTAGATTTCCTCTTTTTTTAAAAAAATTTTATTTAAGGAGAAAAAAGAAAAAAAAACAGAAAAAGGGTACAAGTTATACAGATTTTCAGAAAAAATAAACAGTAGGAAATCACTAGTTAATTACATATTGTCATCTTAGAAATAGTTGCTGAAGTTACAAAATTAAAGCATATAGAGGGGACTTTCAAACAGTGAGATTGTAAACAGTTTTGTTCAATGATCCAACAAAACTCAGTAATATGGTTATCTATCTTATACACTTAAATATATATGCAGTTATATCTTTTAGAAAACTTTCTTTTCCTTTCTTTTGTACAATGACAATTACACATTTTATTACTCCCACAGTTCTTACTACTTTTTTTTTGAAGAAAGTAAAACCAAATGTGACATACCAGGACAGAGTCAGTCAAATCAAAAGGATGGACATAATACATAATGTAAAAACAAAATACAAGGTGATCAACAATGGTTACCATAATGCCTCTTGCTATCTTAAAAAGAATTGCCTATATCATCAGTTATAATAAAATTGAACAAAACAGTAAAGAATAAGACCAATAAAACCAAAACATTGGAGACATAAGAGGACTTCAAAAGATGATAATAGTCAACCAGAATGGGCATCACAATGAATCTTATTGTCTTCATAGTGGTTGCCTATACTTTCAAACTTGGTACTATCAATCATAACAGAATAGAGGAAAATCAGTCAAAACAAGATGGTGAGAGCAATACAGAGTTTCAAATCAAGTTAATAGGAAATCAAAGTGGGTTACTATAATATATCCTGCTATTTTTTATTTATTTTCCCCTTAATTAAAAGGATAAAAATGAAAAAGTAGATAATAAAAAGGAGATTGAGATAAAAAAGAGGGCATAACAACAAAACAGCGCAGGTCAAAACATAGCCATTTAAGCAAAATAGTGTTTCACCACAAAATAATCTCAACATAATAGTAGTTACCATAGTGTCTCTTCTCTTAAAATCTTTGGGTATAACTTCATATACTGTAGCATCAAACGTATCAAGACAATGTAAAACCATTCAAGAGAATGACAGTATTACAGGGTGTTTAGAATCAACTAACAGAAAATGAACAATGGTTTCTGTATAATCTCCTTGTCTATAAAAGTTTTTGTTTTTATTATCACATATAATAAAATCCAATAAGATACAACACATTAAAACCAATGAAGACAGAAGAACAAAAGCTTGATGGGACTTCAAAACAAGAGGATATTAAATCAGCACTACCTATTATGATGTCTTGTTTTCTCCAAAATGGCTGTTCCTACCATCCAACCTTCTCTGCCTCATTTCTGTTGAACTCTTTTTCTGTCATTAGTTGTCAGTTTGTCTTCTTCATTTCGCCTTCTGCTTCATTCATTGTGGCCACTCTGCCACTGTTTCTGGAATCTTGGTATTTTTCATTTTTAGAATATCCTGCAGTAACCTCTGTAGAGTTCAATTGGTGGTTGCAAGTTCCCCTAGTTCCTCTTTATCCTGGAAGCACCTTGTTTTTCCATCAATTTCCAGGGACAGTTGTGCAGGATATATCAATCTTGGCTGGAGGTTATTATCTTTTAAAACTTGAATTATTTCCCCCCCACGCTCTTCGTGATTTGATGGTTTGTGCCGAGAAGTCTGCTGTAATTCTGATGGGTGTTCTCTTGTAAGTGATCTGTTTCTTGTCTCTGACAGCTTTTAATATTCTGTTCTTATATTGGATTTCTGGAATTTCTTAATTCTTAAGTTATAGATCTTCTTTTTTTTAAATTTATTTAAGGAGAAAAAGAACAAAAAAGCAGAGAAAGGGTACAAGTTATACAGATTTACAGAAAAAAATAAACAGTAGGAAATCATTAGTTAATGGATTACATTTTGTCATCTTAGAATTAATTGTTCAAGTTACAAAATTAAAGCTCATAAAGTGTACATTCCAACAGTGAGACTACAAACAGTTCTGTTCAATGATCCAACAAAACTCAGTGATATCATTATCTATCTTATACACTTAAATATACATGCAGTTATATCATTTAGAGCACTTTCTTTTCCTCTCTTTTGTACAATGACAATTACACATTTTGGGTTTTGTTGCTCCCACAGTTCTTATTACTTTTTGGAAGAGAGTAGAACCAAAAGTGACAGAACAGTCAGTCAAATCAAAAGGGTGGACATAATAATGTAAAAGCGTAATACTAGGTGATCAACAATGGTTACCATAATGCCTCCCGCTATCTCTAATAGAATTGCCTATATCATTAGTTATAATAAAATTTGAACAAAACAGTAAAGAACAAAACGAACAAAACCAAAACATTGGAGACATTATAGGTCTTCAAAAGTAGATAATAGTCACTGAGAATGGGCGTCATAATGAATCCCACTATCTTCACAGCTGTTGCCTAAACTTTCGAACCTGATACTATCAAGCAAAACAGAATAGAGGAACATCAGTCAAAACAAGATGGTGAGAGCAATACAAGGCTTTAAATCAAGATAATGGAAAGTCAAAGTGGGTTACTATAATATATCCTGCTATTTTTAATTTATTTTTCCCTTAATTAAAAGGATAAAAAAAGTAATAAAATGGAGATTGAGATAAAAGAGGGCATAACAGCAAATCAGCACAGATCAAAGCATAACCATTTAAGCAAAATAGTGTTTCACCACAAGATTATCCCGACATAAAAGTAGTTACCATATTGTCTTTCCTTGAAATCTTTGAGTATAACTTCATATACTGTAGCATCAAATATATCAAAACAATGTAAAACAATTTAAGAGAATGACAGTATTACAGGGTATTTAGAATCAACTAACAAAATGAACAATGGTTTCTGTATAATCTCCTTGTCTATAAAAGGTTTTGCTTATACTATCATATATAATAAAATCCAATAAGATACCACCTGTTTAGACCAATGGAGACAGAAGAACAAAAGCTTGATGAGACTTCAAAACAAGATGATACTAAATCAGTATTACCTCTTAAGACGTCATTTTCTCCAAAATAGCTGTTCCTATCATCCATCTCTGCCTCATTTCTGTTGAGCTCTTTTTCTGTCATTAGTTGTCAGTTTGTCTTCTTCATTTCGCCTTCTGCTTCATTCATTGTGGCCACTCTGCCACTGTTTCTGGAATCTTGGTATTTTTCATTTTTAGAATATCCTGCAGTAACCTCTGTAGAGTTCAATTGGTGGTTGCAAGTTCCCCTAGTTCCTCTTTATCCTGGAAGCACCTTGTTTTCCCATCAATTTCCAGGGACAGTTGTGCAGGATATATCAATCTTGGCTGGAGGTTATTATCTTTCAAAACTTGAATTATTTCCCCCCCACACTCTTCGTGATTTGATGGTTTGTGCCGAGAATTCTGCTGTAATTCTGATGGGTGTTCCCTTGTAAGTGATCTGTTTCTTGTCTCTGACAGCTTTTAGTATTCTGTTCTTGTATTGGATTTCTGGAATTTTAATTATTATATGCCTGGGTGGAGCTCTGTTTGGGTTGTAGGTGGCTGGGGTCCTGTATGCTTCATACAACTGAGTATCTTTAACTTTTGCTAAATTAGGAAAATTCTCCTGGATTATTTCTGTGAGTAGCTTTTGTAGTTCATTTGTTTGTGTCCCTACTTCTTCTTTTATGTTCTTAATTCTTAAGTTATAGACCCTCTTATCATCTTCTAGTCTTTGTATTATTGCTATTTGTGTCTTTATTTTTAAGAAGTTTTTCATTTCATGCTCCCATATTACAAATCTGCCCTCTAGTTCAGATAATCTGTCCTTAGTTTGTTTCAAGCTGTTATGCCAGTTTTCGATAGACTTTTTAGATTCCTGGTAGTCTCTTTGAACCTGCTTCACATATTCTATGCTTTCTTTATTATCTCCATTAAACAATTCTCTCCTCTTTTTCTGTTCTTCCATTCCACCATCTGTTTTTTCTTGGGTGGTGCTTAGCATTTCTCTAACTATTCTGCTTATGTCTAGCTTCAGGTCATTAATAACTTCATTCCTGAACTTGTCTATGAGGCTCTCGAGATAGTGCTTTATGTCTATTGGTGCTGTGTCTGCTGTTGTCTCTTTCTCAGAATTGGCGGCCGAGGACCCTTTCTTGTTGCTGCCTCTTCCCATATTCTTTGTCCCTTATATATGCAAGCATATATAGGAGGCCCAGCTTCCTTCCCTGTCAGCCACAGTCTGATTGAATTGTGCCAGCTAGGTGTTCCCACCCACCACAGCGCACCAGGAAGTTGCAGACCAGACAGCCTATGCGGGGCCCACCCCTCCAGGTCAATCTACCTTCAGGAGCTGGGACCTGGGCTGTGCTAGGCTACTGGGTCTCAGCCAGCAGCGTCACCTGGGCTAGGCACTGCTCACCAATCCCGCTTGAGAGGGGGATACGTGGCTGAAGTCATTGCAGCGCCCCATTCCCGCAAGTCTGCCCGGTCCCAGAGTGTCGTCTGTTGGATTCTCTGGACTGTGGGAGAGTCCCAGTTTTCCCTCACTCACCGGAGGTGGATGCACGGCTCCCCACCCGTCCCGCTCTCAACTCCGTTCACCGATTCCCGTTCTCAGAGCTTCCACACGTCACTCTCCCTGCCGAGCCGATGCAGACGCAGCAGCAGCACGGGAAACCCAAATCGAGGCTTCCAATGGCGCGGGCTCCAGCTTCCACGCTGAGGCTTTATCTGTTCCTGTTATAGCTCCAGGATTGCATTCCCAGTTGGTTTCTCTCAGCCCAGATCATTCTTGGGTCACCAGAGCATATCTCCTCTTGCTTATGATTCCTTACTCAGCACCATTCCTGATTTTAAGCTGGGTGTTTCAGAGAGCCTCCGTAGCTGCTGCTATCTGTCTGCCATGTTCTCCCGGAAGTCTCTATAGATCCTCTTATCATCTTCTAGTCTTTGTATTATTGCTGTTTGTTTTCTTGTTATTTTTAAGAAGTTTTTCATTTCATGCTCCCACCTTACAAATCTGTCCTCCAGTTCTGATCATCGATCCTTAGTTTCTTTCAAGCTGTTATGCCAGCTTTCAATAGCGTTTTTAGTTTCTTGGTGATCTCTTTGAACCTGCTTCATGTATTCTATGTTTTCTCTATTTTCTCCATCAAACAATTCTCCCCTTTTTTTCTGTTCTTCCATTCCACCATCTGTTTTTTCTTGGGTGGTGCTAAGCATTTTTCTAACTATTCGACTTATTTCTTGCTTTATTTCATTAAATACTTCATTTTTGAACTCGTCTAAGAGGCTCCGGAGATACCGCTTTATGTCTATAGGTGCCATGTTTGATATTTCATGTTTTCTGTCTTCATTCTCTTTTGCATTTACCTTTCCTGCATCAGTGTTCTCAGGATTGGGGACTGAGGACCCTTTCTTGTTGCTCCCTTTTCTCATACTTTTTGTTCCTTCCATACAAGCATATGTAGGGGGCCCAGTTTTTTTTTTCTCTTTGTCTGTTACAGTTTGTTTGAATCTGCCGGCTAGGTGTTCCCGCCAACTGCAGTGTACTAGGGAGACACAGACCTGGGCAGCCTCTGCTGGGCCTGCCCCTCCAGGTCAACCTACTGA